AGAATCTAAAAGAATTTTCGAAGAAGATGGCGAAAAAATTTTTGGTGAGTTATTGGCTTCTTCATCAGATAATTACACCAGCACAACCAAATCGAACATTCCAACTTCTGTTTTTGGATTTATTGTCTGGTACGTATAACTGTCAGCGAACTGTCAGCGAAAAAAACAAGATCAACATAATAAAGAATCGTTATACTATGCCCTGGACTGATTTGTACGCTTCTCTAGTGCCGACAAGATGTGCTGAGTTATATTCACCACTATTCCCCACTGATGAGCTCTTGGCTGGCTCCTGGAAAAATCCAAATGAGAACAATGTTCCTTGGTAGCATGGAACTATTCAGTTTGTTAATCGATTGTTTCAATCGCTGAAATCTTTTAATTTGAGTCAGAAGATTTTGGAAAATAATAATATCTTCTACGTTGTTATTTTCATTCGAATTTTGACAATAATTGTAATAATCCAACCCTTTACAAGCTTCGATACTGCAATATGCATGGCTATCTAATACAGAACTCCTTCATCTATGATTGACTGAAAGGTATTTTCTGATTAGAATGTTTATGGGAAGTTTCACCTAACTATATTTTGGAAAGGAACATTGGTGGCAAAAAGTCTAAATTTCAAAGTATTTATGGCGTTCGCAAACTGGGCCTCAGTGCCATACCTTTTGTCCACAGATATTAGGATATTGTTCAACCTACGTGAGAATCAGTAAGTTCACAATCTATCCTTATTCAGGAAAAACGCAGAAACATATAGGGAACATGACTGAGATGCTGCCATTAAAGTGGGCTTAGGCCAAAGAGCCATTAAGGTTCCTGATTTTGCCTTTTCGGACATGCCATGTCAATCGCCATTTCATTTCTATTTGAGTTATACGAAAAAAATCACTGTGATACAGCCAATAGTTCGAATTAGGTTCGGTGCACAAAATAAAACGCACTTCCGATAGACAAACGACATCCACATGGTGTTTGGATCGAGTCTGGATGGTTGTCGCTTAGCTCTCATCCATAAGTGTCCTGAAATTCTACTCAGATAAAACTGTGGAAGAGTGCGACCTTTTTCTTCCTTGATTATTTTTCAATCTGTGAAAAAAATATTAAATTATTGGATTTTTTTTATTAAATAGTAATATATTTTTCTTTTTCTTCTTCGTCTTCAAACAGCTCTCATTATAAGTGGTTAGGCTGCCTCTCTTGGCTAAAAAAGTAAGACATTTCCAAGCTGTTCGGTAGCAATATCTGACGATAATAGTATCAAATATATCGGAATATTGGAAGATCGAAAAGATTTGCCCTCGACCTATACAATTACTTATGGTATAGCGGCACAAGTGAGTACTATTCGCAAGTACTATCGTAAGAAATTAGCAAGATGTTATAAAATAATAAGTGAAACAGAAAAAAGTTTTAGCAAAAGCAAATTTATATTGCTGCAGAGCTTGGAGAATCGAAACTTGAAGCGATATCCCATACCCTATGTATGTGAAAATTTGTCCACTTTCCTTGGCTTAAATCCAACTTGATTAGTGAGGTTGCTTTGCTAAGCATTGCCATAAATCTATTCAGAAGCAAAAATCTTCCCAACCATTGGATTGGATTCCCAATTGTATTCAACAATTCTTCAATAATAGAAAACGGAATATTTTTGCTATTAACAATTAATTTAAATTTTGAATCAACAAAAACTCAAAAGAACCTGAAGATCACTTCGAAATTAATAAATTGATAAATAATAAAACACTAAAATAAATCGTTTATCTATTCAACAATTTGAAAAATCAAACGGAGCCATACTTTTAAAAAAAGATTTCAAAAGCCAAAAATTAGTGCAGTAACCAAGAACCGCCATTTAACTATTTACAAAATTTACAAAATTCACAAATTGAAAAAATAGAAATAGAAAAATAAAAATTGATAAATTATTAATTCCGTGAGTCGCAAAAGGTTTTATTACTATAAGCTTCTTTTTCGCGATTGAAAACCAACGAATAAAGATATTAGAGAAACGGATAGTACCAAATAAAAATAGAAAAAAGGACTTGTCATGTCACACGAATAATTTAAATTATTTGAAGTACTATTTTTTTATATTCAAGACAAATGAACTTACTTGTACTTTTGTCATTAGATGTACTTTTCTGTGTTTAAAATATAAATTATTTCAACCTTAGTTGACAAATCCATTCTTCTTCTAATAATTCTCATTATTACTGGTTAGGCTGGCTCCAACGACTACAAAGGTAAGACGCATCCAAGCGGCACGGTTTGATGCCATTGTCGACAGTAATAGAAACCATTCCTTTTTCCATCGTCTAAGTCCATATATTGCTGGTCCACCTATACGAATCCATTAGATGCGAAAAATTCATGAATTTTATGAAAAAATGATATTTTACTCTGGCAATCCCCAAAAAAGATGGGTTTTTCAATTTTCTACGCGGTGCATATAAACTATAATTAATAAGTTCTTTCCATGAAAAATCCGAATCGTTAATCTTTAAGATAACAATTTTACCTCCTTGTTCTTAAAATAGATTCACTGATGAGTTTATCAATTTATTAAATAGGTCAGCTGCTTTTCTATTTTTTATTAAAAGGGCTTTCTATTAAAATACTGAATCTAAATTAGATATACTTCAATGATAATTCTTTTATTTCCTTTAATTTCATAATTTTTCATCTTTTTAAGGTTTTCATACTTCTAAATGGTTTATATATGTTCTTCTCACTTCAGTAGAAATTTTTCGGTCTATTATTTTATTTCTCAATCTTCAATTATTCCAGGTACAGAGATATTCCTGAAAAAAGAATACCAAAATTCATTGAGCTTATTCCTAAGTTGAAAAAATTGGTACCAATTTTTTGCCGACTTCCACTAATTGAATGCATTCATACTTTTTTAGACTTTTGTTTTGTTTCAAATTCCTAACATCTCAATATTGTCTTAGGTATCAACCAAAGTTTCTTTCATTTTTCCCATTTTCTCACTTTCCCACTTTTTCCCATTTTCCACATCAATTTTACATTATAAAAATATTTTATATCTTTAGCAAATTCAAAAGTTTTTTTGTTCAACGTTAAAAAATTTTACTTTTAATTAGTTATTTTACTTCAGATAAATATAGCTTTCCAGTGTCCATAAATGAGAGAAACGATCACATCTATAGACGACAAAAGATTAAGCTATGATCTCCTATGATAATTAATGGCATTTTTCTAATTGTCAGGATTCAACAATCACCTTTTTATTAAATTTTTTTAAGATATGGGCTAATAAAGAATTAATTAGTGATTTGGTAATTAATCGCCTAACCGCGAAATCTTTTCGTTTATTTTTTTAATTAATTTTTTTTATTTAAAACTGAGAAAACTATTTTTTGATTTGGTCGACTATGTTCTATGAGATTTTTTTTTAATACTATAATCATATAATGTTCATATATTCCAACTGAAATATTTTTTCAGTTGTTTATGAAAAATTTTTTCAATCCTCGATTTAAAAAAATTTGAAATTCTCGAAATAATTGTGAAAAAATAGTACAATTATAGGCGTAAAAGCAGACTAAAGTATGAAACAAAAAACCAATCGACCAACGAAAGTTCTCAAATTTCTTATTATTCTAGTAAAATGAATAAAATTTTTTTGTCGTTCTGAAATCAAGCAATTAAATAAACCTTTAAATTTTTTAAAATAACATGAATTTCTGCTTTTCAATAGCAATAATTTATTAAATAGAAATATTTCAATGATGGAACATGGAATATTCAATGATGGAATATTTTTAAAATAGAAATCATCAAAAATAGAAATATATTTTTAGGAAACTAATTAATTTCTATTTTTTAATTTCTATTGAATTTACTGTATATGAACTTTGCTATAATTTAAGAATTTGTTTTGATTAATTTTATTTTCGCGAAATAATTGCGCATTTAGAATTCATTTAATTGTCCGATAGGAAAATCGTTAGCGACTCGGCAATGCAAATTGTTGAATCTAATTAAGTAATTTTTTTGAAAATAATTGCGTGACTATTCTCATTATTGTTATTTTCATTGCTCATTTTTCTTTAGTTCTGAGGTGTTTAGAAAAATTTATTGTTTTAAATTTATTCTAAACAACTTTTTAATCATTTATTTAAGTAGAGCTATTCTTGTAAAGAATTTATTTAAAATAGCGAAATTTTTTATTTTTGAAATCTTATTTGAAAATTGAAATTTAGGAGCTTATTTGCCTTAAATTAGTGATGATAAACTATTAATATTGTCGGACAGTGCAGTAAATAAATAAATAATTCTCTATGTGAATGATGAAGTATAGGTATATGGTAAACTATCATTATTAGCTACTAATGAGACGCTAGAAATTTTTCCAATAAATTCATTTTACGATGGAAATACAAATAAATCTGAACCACTGAATCTGAATCTGAAGATGAGTCAACGGCAGTGAGATTCAAAGTGGCGATACGATAACCGAAACTGCAATCAGTAACTAATCCAATAAACTATTTGTCCATCTGCGATTTTTTAAACTTATTGTTATATTGTTGCAATCTCTTTAAAGAGGATATTAAAAGCTAATTAAACGTCAGCATCGGCGCTTCGAGTTGAGCCTAAATGGATTTTAAAAAAATTTTCATTTATTTAGAAATATTTTGTGTAAAAATTATATAGCGATGGTGCACAGAGCATGACATAAAGTTATAATTCACTTTAAAAATTAATGGTACAAATGAAGACAAAGTTTATTCATTTAATTTAGCAGATAGGCCATCTATATTTGAATTCAGAATGCGATTATAAGATTTGACTTTTTTGAGAGTTTAAAATTTTTTAAAAATTTATTGTAAGATGAGATGAATTATCTGTTAGTGTCGATTAACGAATCATATAAAGTAATAAATCTCTCGATCATATAAAATAATATGATTAATTTTTATTAAGTTACAGATGATCGCTCATTAAATTAATAGTAATGCGAAGAATTAATGACGCCATTAAATCAGTCTGAAAGTGCAGTAACTGAAGATCTCATTGCCTGTGGCATTCTCTCGACGGTGAACAGATTTTTAGATCAGATTTTTATTGCATGAAATGTCTAAAACTTGATTACTGTGTAAAAAAAAATTGTTTTTATATTAGAGAAAGACCAGACCAGCATTGCTTATGAAAAATGTGATTCTCATAAGCCTTAGATCTCTGGTGCTCTAGATTAGAGATCTTAATTAAGTTGATCTCGGCCTGAAATATATTAGAGATCAAAAATGTGATTGAACGCTGTTATCATTTTTTTGAGATAACCTTTAAGGGCTGAATAATCAACCACACTAAAAATTTTCTATTGCTTTTGGAAATTTTGAAACTTCTGGCAATCTTTTCATAGTGGGCATAATCGAAAAGCAAGACGAATCTTTTTTTAATAAAATTCTTACCAATATTTTTTTTAGATAGAGTGAGAGGAAAATCCATAGCTATATGAAGATATTATATCCTTTTTATCCTATCCTTCTATTATCCTTTTTTATTCTATCCTTTATCCTTGGCGATGGTTTAACCTTGACATTCAAAGTTACATTATTTTCAAATTTATGGGCACGCGCCGTTCCTTATTTTCTACTGGTGTATAATTTTAGCCGAATAGAAGTATAGGTTGATTGCTAGCATTACCTGGAAAGCTATTGAAAGCTTTCTATGAAAAAAAGCTGTTGCAAAAATTCAGCAACAGTGATCTAAAAAGAGAAAAACAACTCATTCTCATTTTTAACACGGAAAAAGGCCCTGCAAAGATTTTCCGATCTTTTAACAAAATTTCTCTTTAAAAATTTTTTTGACATTTTCGGGAAATTGTGGAAAATTTTCAGTGTTGCGTTTTTGGACTTATAACTAATGGTGGTTTAATATATGCAACATGGAAATCAAAAACATTCATCAATCCATATGGAATACTTTGCGCGATTATTGGTTTCCTAAATTGTTGTTTTTTGGCCACATTTACGGCATTTACAGTCATACCGATAATGTAAAATTTGCTTTTTTTACAAAAAGGTTTACTCCTGCGGGAAATAGAACCTAAGCATCGACTCTTTAAATTGAGCAATATTTCAATGGATTCTCAGCATATTCGGTGCATCGATGCTAAAGTTCTATTCTCCGCAAGAATAAAAATTCCTAAAAATCCGAATGATCCGATTGATTCACTTGAAGTATAGGTATATGGTAAACTATCATTATTAGCTACTAATGAGACGCTAGAAATTTTTCCAATAAATTCATATTACGATGGAAGTACAAGTAAATCTGAACCACTGAATCTGAATCTGAAGATGAGTCAACAGCTTTTATCGCCAAGAGACTTTATACTTTTATCGCCAAGAGACTTTATACTTTTATTGCCAAGAGACTTTGTGGCAAATCTATTAAAAGAAAAAATTTATGTATAAAGATTTTCAAAGGTCGTTTAAAAGATGAATTAAAGATATGACGGTATAATGGAGGCAAAAGTTGGTCAAATTTTTAATAGCATTTATTATTCAATTATTCTTTTACATATTCTCATTAGTGTCAATCGACTATGTTCTATATCAATGCCATTAAAATATATGTGCATATTTGGTGGTAAAAAATCTCTTCTTATGGCACTTTCAATGATAGCAATCAGTGCCGGTTTTTGGTTTGGTTCGTATTTTCGTAAGTGGTTTCTTATATGTTTAAAAAATTTGTTTGAAAAAAATATGCCCTTAAACAATTTAAATATTTTCATATTTCAAATGTCATTGTTATTTGTTTATTAATGTAAATTTCATGGCAAAAACCGTAAAAAATGATTTTATTGTCAAATTTTTGACAACCATTTTAGATAGATTATCTGCTCTAAATGTTTATTTTTGTACGAAATTTTTATATTCAAAATATTCTAAAATTTTTAGATTGGAGATGTTTATTTGACTTTGATAAATCATTATATTTATGGTTCTTCGAGGACCATCAATGTGCGGAAGTTTTTTATTCAGTTAATTTATATTTTCAAATATCTATGTTCATCATTATCCTTTTTATCGATATTATTGCTTTTCGTTTAATTCTTATATGGAAAAAGGTTTTTTCTAATTTACATTTCCAGCTTAGTTATTATTTGATTCGGTTTGATTGGATTTAAAGCCGTGGAACTTATTCACTGATTGCAAAAGGTTATAGTGCAGTGTAGAGGTTTCAGTATTGCATCGATGAAATATCGTTTCTATTTTATTCTAAAATCTAAAATTTGTCTACTTTTTTTTATTTTTTTAGAAAACTACAGAATTTAAACAATCGAAACTTTCTAATGTGCCTCAATTACGATCCGAGATAATTTTTTTCTCTCAAGTAAGAATAAACAATACTTTTAGAAAAAAAATTTTCTGATGAAAAAACAATTGAAAAGTATTCATTATCATTCATTTTCAATTAATTAAAAGGAAAATAATTTTGCATATTTTAAATAAATTATATTATCAGAAAATTTAGAGAAAATTAGAGAAATTTAGGTTTAAATTTAGAGAAAATGATTTTTATTGAGTTTTTATGAAAATTCCAGTTTAAAGGAGGTTCGCCTAAATTATTGCATGAAACAATTTTCAGACATGTGTAAGCTCTTTTATCTACGCCGTCATTTTCATAGTTGGTTCTATCATAGAACCACTTTTCACTTTTGACAAATGGGCACTATTTCTACTTCATACTATTGTATGGGTGCTAGGGCACGCAATTGACGGGTAAAATTCGTAAAATCCTTGCTATTCTCATGTTTATTTTTTGAAAATTTTGCGAATTATTATTATTCTTTTCATTAAATCATCTTCAATTACTGTTGCTTCCTCATTATTTTATAAGGAAAAAGTTGCGTTCCAAAAATCGAGTGCTACCACATTTTATTTTTTCATTCCCAGCTTAATTAGCTCCTTGAAGACGGAAAAACGAAAAATACTCTTACTTTGCTCTTTTAACTATTTAAAATAGCAATAAAATTTTTTAGAATAATTTTTCAGAGTAATAATTGGATTTGCGCAATGGAATATACTGCTACACACAAAGAAAGCAGTAACAATAATTGTTCGACCAACATGAATGCAAGAATTATTCGACATGCGTGACATGCATGAAAAATGAATGCGCTATTTTTAAATTATGAACATGAAAATGAGAAAGCAAAATAGATTTTTCAAAATTATTTTCGCTAACCAATGAGCATCTTGTGAATTTTTCAGAGGATCTTAGAATGTTATATTTATTTATTATGAAAATTTTTATAATTTCGTATAGTCCCCTATTGATTTAATTGTCAATCAATATTCACCAAAATTTCTAAATTTCATAATAAAACGAAAGATAAACGTTATCCACTCAAAAAGTAAGTTTCATAAGGATGATTGCCGATCATTCAAATAGAAATTAAATATGAAACTACGGAAAATCATTAATAATTTAGGTGCTAAATAGAGGTTCAGTGATACGTCCTCAGCATTTTCGCATAGTTCTAATTGTCGAAACATAAACAATATCTAATCTTCGGTGAAAATATGAATTGTGCCTTTGAAGCAGTGCCATTCACCTCACCAGCTTTATTTAAAAATTTTTAGATAAAAAATAATATTTGATTTTCATTTTTATTATAATGGAGAAAAGGAAAAAATAATTTCAAAAAATTTCAATATTTTATTTGCTTATAAATAAACATAGACCCTCAAAATCACACCGATTGATTTATCAGTTATCATAGCATATCATCTTTTATCATTTTATCATTTAAATCTTTGGAATCATTACAAAATTTTCTTTGTTGCAGTTTAATTCTATAAATTGAACAAAGAAATTTGAAATTTAAATGAGTTTTATTTCAGATATTTAGCTTTTTCTGAGTTGTATTGACGAACCGACCTGTATCTATAACTAAGTAATTGCCTGGTACTTTTTTTTAGCTCTACTCGGAGCTAACTTAAATGCAGGTTAAGAACACTAACTATTTAGGATTGATATTTTCCATTATATATTTATTTACATATATGAATACAATTTATTCCGGGCCTCTACATCAGTAATAAAAAAGGAATTTTGGCAATAAATTTGAGTCGAATGAAATCGAGATTCCGGTCGCATTTCGAAGAATTTACACAAATTTCAGAATTTAACGCTAAGACAAAAAAAAACGATAAAGCATTTTGATATGAACCTTTTGAGATTAATATGGCTTATTAAGTATTCAATTGAATACAATCCCAGTTACTTTATTTGATTTTTAAAAGTTTCAAAAAAAGGGGAAAGAAAAATATTGCAAAACGTGAAAAAAAGAATTTTTCCCAAGAAACTCAAATATTAAGCGAAGAATTATGTTGGATATTTAAGAATTATTCTACCATGGGAAAAAAACTGGGAGGTGAAGAAATGTAATGGTGGTCACAAATTTTATGCCGAATAAGTATCACAACAAATATTATCAGTCATTCTATCAAAATCCTAAAGAGATATTTAGGTAAGAGCACACACTTTTTAATCGTCTCAAATTTTACCAGCATAAACACTTTTGCATCTCTTTTCTTTCTATTTTGGTCATTTTTCTAAGAGCTACAGAAGTCAATTACCAATTTCTTCCTGTGAATGATAGGTTCCCTCCTTGGCCACAGCGATGCATCATCGGCTAGCCATTCTCTTTGCTTTCGCCTTTCGGCGACACTGCTTCTATACGTATCATCATGATACATCGGCCGGATTCGAATCTCGAGTCGCTCTCGAATCTCATGAACATGATTATTTCAATTATTTGTTAACCACACAATGTCAAATCAAAATCTGCATGTCTAATTAACAATGAAATGGTTAAAAATTTATTACGACAATTCTGATATAGTTATCGCCAATTATTTTTATCGCGAAATGATTTTTTAACTTAACTAATATTAATATTAATAAAAATATTAATAAGAAGTAAAGCATGACAAATACTCAGCCAGATTTTCTCCTCTGTTTGATTTACAATTCGTGGTGTAATTTATATTTTTTTGATATTTTTTATTTGTATTATTGAAATTGAAATGTAAAATGTTAGCAAAAATTATAATTTTTCAACTTATTGAATAGAGTAATTGCCACAATTATTAAAAATATTGTAAATTTGTGAAATTTTAAATATTTACAAATTTTGAATATTTACAAAATTTCACTATATTTAAAACTAAATATTTGAAATTTAGAAAAACAAAAAATAAAATTATAGAATAGAAAATAGAAAAATAGAATTTTTTTCAAAGAAAGAAATTCGGTTTTAAAACAAAAAAAAGCAAATGCTATAAATGAATGAATTTTCTTATCGTCCATTAAAGGAGTTAACAAATATTTTGTTGAATTCTATGATGGTGCCAAAAGCGAGGAGAGTCAATGAAAACTTCTACTGATACATTCAGGGAAAATTGGAACATATAAGTGGGCCAGCAACAATAGATTATGAAAAAAGAAACGGTTTCCATTACTATCAGAGATGGCATCGGATTGATCGACATGGAAACCAATGGAGTTAGTCTGGCTGGTAATGATGAGAGCTGTTAGAAGAAGACCAATAAATGAATGAATCGAGGAAAGTAATACATTTTTTATTCGTCCAGTAATCCGCAAAAAAATCCAGGATTCCATTTGAGATCTAATCTTTATCAAAATAGAATGTAAATTAGATGCATTAACGATTTTTTCCAAAATTTAATATATTTATCGTATAAATTTGCAAATTATAAAATATTTTACACGCTAATCTAATTCGACATAAAATATAAAATATTTCCTATTTATATTGGATCTCTTCGATTTATTTGCGTGCAGCACGATTTAACCTGGCATTCACTTGTGATACAATGGTTCCAATTTGACGAATCACCACATTCAACAATGTTCGGTTGAACTGTCACATTTTTCGCACCCACTTTTTTCAAGATTTCTGTCACCTTAAAATAGCAATTGAATATTATTATCCATCGTAAAATGAGGAATGAGAACATCATAAAGAACCATTTCAATTCAGATAATGACTAACATAAAATGTCAGATGTCACTTAATCAAATGTTTAGTCTAAATCATTTCTGATTTTATTGGATTGAATGATTGCCAGAAAAGCTTTTGCCAGAGAGTCACTCAAGGATATAAATGCAAACGGTTCCCGACAGTCAATTTCTACTTTTTATGGCAAATCGTACTTCTGACGGAAACAAAAGCAGAGTTTTGATTGATGCAATACTTTACCACTTCTATTCCATATATGTTTGTAAATTGGCAACTAATGATTTTCAATATTTGATAACTTAACTCTCATAACTGAGAAAAGTAAATAAAGCACTGTAAACCAACCTCTTTTTGTATTTGCACAATATTACATTGCGCCGTCTCAATCCATCCTTCTTTTTTCATATCACATCGATATGTTATCGTTAAAAATACATCAAATGCATTGCCAGGCCACCGACGATAAACATGCATGTGATCGCATGTAGTTGTCGTAAACTAAAAATAAAATTTTACGAATTATAATATTTAATATTTTAATATTTAATATTTTATTCGAGAATTTAATATTTAATAATATTTTATTTAATAATTCAATATTTGATAATATTTTACTTCATTAGCATTAAATTCAAAATCATTTTTTTAAAAAAGAGATAAGAATAAAGCTATGATTAATTTGCATTAGTCAATCAAGAATAATGAACTACGACCGAATAACTAATGATAATTCAATTTATGATGATTAATGATAAAAGGCATTAAAGCCCCTACGAAATAACGGTTAACAATAGAGGATTATTATTTTATTCTTCTATACGAATTACTTTGTTTTTTAAAAATATCATTGCAAAATTTTTTTCACAGCAGAAAAATGCGAAAATGAACAGCATATCGACATATGTATTATTAGATATTTTTTACTACTATTTCCTCGATTTTTTCTCATAATTCGAACCTTTTCAGTGATTTCTCTTTTGAAGTCATCGATTTTGAAGTCTTTCGGTATGTCTCCAAATAGAAAGGGCAACGATCGAAAAACTGGAATTTTTGAACATTGCAAAAAAAAAAAACAACTTATTTCTCTTGAAATTTTGATAAAAATTTTTACAGCAATGAATTGCATCAAAGAAAAAGAAAACTTTAAATTAAATTAAATTCTAATAATTTTTGTTGGTTATAAAAAATAACTGTAATTGTTGAATTTCGTTGTAATTCTTATATAATATAATTATCACAATATAATTATAATTATTATAATTAATTATTTATCACATAGTTCTTTGATATAATTCTTGCAAATCCAAGCAAAAATAGTTTTATTATTATTTTTATTATTATCTTTTTTAATATTTGATTTTGGTACCAAAAGCATGGAGGGCCAATCAAGACTTCGACTAGTACGGATTTTGAACGCATACATGGACCAGCGACATATGAATTTTAGAGGATGGCTTCTATTATTGGTTGCAAGCGATGGCAGCAGATCGGACAGCTTGGATCGAAGTTTTATCTTTGTAGCCATCGGAAACAGCCTAACTAGTAATGGTGAGAACTGCTTTGAAAAAAGAATATTAGATTTAATACATTTAACGCATTGATGCATCGAGTTTAATATAATTCCTATAATATATCATATAATAAATAATTTATATATTTTATATGTGTTATATATTACATATATAAAAATTAAATTAAATCATTAATAATAATAAATAAAAAATTAAAAAAAAACGAACACGATGGTAGAACAATAAGTGCTAAAAAAATAGCAATAATCGTAGTAAATAATGGATCAGCAATTAAAATAATATTTTTTTCAATTATAGAAAAATCGAGAATTGCAATGAATAGTGTTGCAAATGTTGCGGAAAAATGTAGAAAAATTCGTGAAAATAGATTTAAATTTAGCCGCGGCAAATCATCGAAAAACCATAATAATATTTTTATCAAAATATCCAAGATTGCTAAGCCAACATATATAACTGTAAAGAATAAAATAGAAAAATTTTTTTAGCTAAATTTTTTGAAAATTCAATTTATTTTTTTAAATTTCCCAATTGTCATTTTCATTCCAAGTTTTAATTTTAATTTAAATTGCTTTTTTGAAGTTGAGAATTCATTAATTCATTTTATTTTTTAAAAAAAATTTACTTTAAAACACTTTAAATTTTCACAAAAGAAATAGAACAGAGCGTCGAAAAATGACTTATTTTGGTCAATTTTGAATTTTTCTAATTAATTTCTCAAAAATCAACTTTAAATGAATTTATTATAAAGTATATTTTTTTATACTTCTTTTGCATGCTTTAATAAAACGATATTGTCGAAGAATTCTCGTAAGAAAAAAGTGTAGAAACAAACTTTTCAGGTGAACTCCTTCGTCATGCCTTTCGATAATCATTTGCACCGCATGTGTTAAATTCACAAAAATAAGTCCTTCGAAAGCAATTAAACCTGACATTCGTAGTACAACGGGCAATCTTTCTCCACATTCAAATCCCTATTCAAACATTATAAAGAGATTAAGCTTTATAAATTCGCACATATCTACTATTTATTTGATTGAAATTCATTCATTTCTAGCTAATTTATGATAAGTTAATCAAAAAATTTTTATTTTTTATCTTAATTCAGCTATAGGAAAGAGGACTTGTTGAATAATGTATGGATTTTTACGAAGAGAAATGTTTTTATATTACAATTTATATTATATTTTAAGAAATTTGAAAATCTTCCCTAAAAAGTACATAAAAATTGATCTATAATTTATAATTAATAATCGGTGATAAGAGCTATCAATTCTCTTTCAATATCATCCTTTTATGAATAATATATTTTCAAATCAAATTGATAGAAAATAGAAAACTTATGAAAAAATAATTCTTTTTTTCTCCTATAAGATCATCGGAAAAAAAATATGATTTATAAATTCGTTAATTATAGATTAATTGCAAGTCTCATAATTTTGCTTGTTGAAAACATAGATTAATCTTAACACGGATTGGTTCTTTCAGTAAAAGCTTTTGTTTAAGAATTAAGGCTTTCGGTTAAAGAAGACCGAATCGCTTAAAGGAGAACAACTATGCATTGTCCAACTTTCTTTTTAGCGTCTGCTAGAACTATATGAATGCAATCTTACTTGGCACGATAAGATAATAACCAATAGAACAGTGTCACATAATGCAAGTCGAGCCGTAAGTGAATGAGTAAAGCAAATCGCGAAAGTTTCCAATACAAAAAGAAAAACAAGAATCCAAAATGGTACGAAAAATTTCAATTTGAGTCGCATAACTTAATATTTCAATTGAAATTACATGGTTTCGTTACGCGTCCAATTGATTAGAAAGAAATGTGATAACAAATTGTTGTGGATTGATAAAAAGCGCTGCAAATTTCCGCTGTGAACAAAATTTGTAAATTTTTTACGAAACAATTCGATTTAAATTCGTTCTCATTGGAAATTTAAAAATTAACAAATTTTTGGTTGAATAATTTAAAAAATAAAAAAAATAATTTTTAAGAAAAATGAATGACTTGGCAAAACAAAAATATAAAAATTGTTTTTGTCAATATTTAAACAATGTCACTTATTTTTTCTGAGCAATTCTTATCTTATTCGCGTTCTCTGAAAAAATTATTTAAATAATTTTTTCAAAAATTATATCTCTTTTGCGAATAGAAAAGAAACGTTAAAAAAAATAGATACTACTTTCAATAAACACTTTTGTTATTACACTTTTGCTCTCAAAATCAAATCTGAATACTTACTGTTTGTTTACTTTTATTGTTTAAATAAATAGCTAAGAATAAAAAAATTTTATTCTAATTAGGAAAATATTTATTGAAAATCAGCGTTCAGCGTAAATTCGGTCCATTTTGCTTCATTTCAAACGAAAGACAATGACTTACATAATTTTGTTCATTTTCCATTACTTTTTACAATGTTGTACTTTTAAATGCATTAATTTACGTTATATCTAAGAACTACGTGATAAATAATTATATTATATTTAAGGCATTTTAAGATTTATATGCATATTTATAAGATTAAATTTTCTATTAATATTGATTATATGATAATCAATTTGGCTAAAATTTATCCCATCTTATTTTATTTATTTACAAATCGGCAGCTGATACATTGATTTTTTGATTTTTTTAGGAAGAAAGTTTGAATATTTTGTTGCTTATCGTTTGAATAATTTGGTTATTTTAAGTTTCAGGAATGTTGCTGAAAATTGCTGAAATTTTTTTTTAAAATATACTTGAATTTTAATAAAAATATACTTAGAAATGGGTTTCGGATTTTAATATATAAAAAAAAGACGTTTTAATAATTTTAATGTTTATAAAATCGGTAAAAATATTTCATAAATACTTGATGCTAATAGCAATTATATAAAAAATTATTTAATGAATTTGTTGTTGTTCCAAATTTATCGCTTTTTTCTTCATTTTTGATATAGCATTAAGTTATTTGTAAGATTAAATTTTTAAGATCATTGTTAAATCTATCGAATTCTCTCTTTATTTGTCATCTTCATTGCAGAGTTATGTATTTAGACTAATGAAAAAAAAATTAATAGTTTAAATTTTTTTGTCGTATCGACAATAATTAGCTAATGATTGAACAAGAACAAAGCAAAATTCTTACAATATCGTGTTGAAATGGTCTATTGGGGTTCCATGGTTCCCTATAATTAGTTCTATACAGATGCTATTAATAACGTTCAAGGATCTCATATAGGTAGTTCGAGAAATTTAATAGCTGGACAGATTTCTTCACGAGTTTTTTTTTTTATTTCTTATCTATCACTTGTATCCTTTAAAAATTTCACTTATATATATAGCATAGACAATTAGTAATATATCATTTCGTTTTATCATCTACACTCATTGATCATTTTACAATGTCATTTTTCTCACTTTCTTTTTATAAGGCCATAGCGCTTGCTTTTGTTGTCGCTTTTATGTGATTGTTTTTTTTTGAAATGGTGAAAATAGAATCACCACATTTAACGGCAATATTAGTAGTTTGAATAAAATGGACGTAGATTTTGGCTAATTTTTAAAACTTAGCGAATTGGAATACTTTGTTGGAACTGCAGAAGTTAGAAGATACCGAATTGATTTTTTGAATTTTTTTAAAGTTTGAATATTGAATAGTTTATGCATTTTCATCATAAATATTTTTACATCCCTTTAAATTTTCATTCTAAAATATTTATTTATTTAAATATCGAAATGAATAGGCTTTAAAAGTAACAAATTTTACCAGAGAATTCATTTGGCGAATAGTTTATGCATTTTCATCATAAATATTTTTACATCCCTTTAAATTTTCATTCTAAAATATTTATTTATTTAAATATCGAAATCAATAGGCTTTAAAAGTAACAAATTTTACCAGAGAATTCATTTGGCGATACAAGCAGGCTGCTGGACGGATTTTTAAAAGTTTGGTTTATTCCGACCTCTAGCACGCATCCGAGAATAAAGCAGTGAAACAATTTTCGTATTTATTCACCGAGAATAAAAATCACCCATTTATTTGCCTTAATGAATAGGCGAAAAAATACCCGAGAGTTTAGATTATCGTGGTGAGAATCAATGGTCGGCTAATTCAAGAGAGGAAAAAGACTATAGTACTGGCTATATATCTACATTTCTGCCTACAGGCGATTCTCTGGCGAAAATTTTAAACCGTACTAGCAATTAGAAGCATCACTTTAGAATCACTTTTAGAATCACTTTTTTACTTATTAGCCAAAATAAATAGAGAATTAATCCAATACATTAATTATGAAAATATAAAAATAGAAAAAAAACTACTAGAAAACTATTTTTATTAAATGGGCGAGCTGACGATGTATTTATGCTAAATAAATCATATTTAATTCAATTTTTTAAGAGTTCGGTTTATTTCGGTTTATTTCCGAGGTATTTATTTTTAAAATTAGGTACTAATGATGTAAAAATTTTATATGATACAGCGAACTTACATTTTACGAACGCTTTTTATGAATTTTGTTTTTTGTCGATAAAATCAAATAATCATTTCAAACAATCATTTAAAATTCATAAAATTTTAAGTGACAAGCAAAATTATTTAGAAATCAATTTCACACGAACGAATACGCACCATTCCGGCTTAGACTTGCTCGGGCTAGTTGGACCAAAGCGGAAGTATAGCTGACCGCTCACCAGCGTCAACGGTATTTTTGAAAGACAGGCAAAGGCAGATTGATAGATTTCTGTTAAGTATGGAACCCTTTTATCTAAAATATGAAGTGCATCAATTTACTGGCTGATTTATGAAAATTTATTGATTCAGTTGAATTTCTTAATAATATGAAATATTTCTTTATCTCTTAAAACTAATAATTTTCAAAATTTATCAAAACAAAATAAAATTAAGTTTGTTTATATGCTTATAAAATTTAAAGAATAAATATTTTAGAGCAAATCGCATAAAAACAGTTTTAAATTTTCAACTATAATTAACAACAGCAATAATTTATTTTTGATTTACATTTGTGATATTTTTTTACGAATGAAATTTTTTCATCTTATAATTTTCTTTAAAATATAATTTATCAAATGTGAAAAAAGTATGAATGGGAATGATAGAAATATTAAATAAATTAAATAAATATTAAATAAATAAATATTAAATAAATATTAAAAAAGTAAAGTAAAGTAAATATTAAGAATTGAAAAAATTTTAGCGAAATGTCATTTTAATCCGTTTGATAAATATAAAATGAATATTAATAGTTCGACAAAAGTTACGAATTGTTTCGAATGAAATTCAAGAAAATTTTGATTATAAATTTATAAAATTTCCATGAGTGAATTAACAAAATTTGCTTAGCAAATATATATCAATATTGCAATAATTTTTTTAAAATAAGAGTCTTTGCTTGCAACTTATTTTATTCATATTTATTTCCGATAATTCATCTTCAACGATGAACAAATATCAATATTTTTCTTCGTAACACTATTAAGAAATCGACCTGTGATGATCGTAATGGTACCAATAAAATCATGCGTTTCGCCTATCTCTATTGATATTAATTGTTCTCAATTTCTACATTCGCGTTGTTCAACAATGCAACAAAAATTTTGCTAGTGTAACTATTCAAATTCAATTAATACAAATGTCTTTTTTTTTCCATTCCTCATAATTTATTTAAGCCTTTTTGATATAAACCAGTCATAAATTTTCTAAATTTTCTAAATATGTAAAGTATTATTTTTATCTTTTATGATGAAATTCGTATTAAATAATAGTAATGAATGAGTATAGAAAATTATCTATGCAAAATTATCGTGAAAAGAAAAATCCTGGTGCTTTCATGGATTTAGTTGTATCCTGAAATGAGTGTTTCTCTGACGAGAGATATTCAATTCAAATAGTTAGTGAAGCGAGCTATATAATAAAATGAATGATGCTTTCACAAGAAAAAAATTCAAATGTCGATATGTTAATTCTAATTTTAATCGTAAAATTGACTATTTTTATATAATATAATTTCTTTTTTATACTAAAGTAATTCACATCATATTTTTAAAAAAAATCAATTTTAATAAAATTAATAAATTCTAACGAAAATATTCGTCGATTTTCTTCAAACCAATTTTTTATTACAAAATATAAAATACAATGGAAGAATAAAAATAAGAAGCAAATATTTATTGAATGGTTGTTTCATTTTATCTTCTTTTAATCTTCTTTTATTAGTTTATTAGCTCTTTTGTTAATAAATACGGTGAGGCAGAATAGTAGAGTGGATAATGGTTGAGATTATCGCAGTGTTGTAAAGCAGTTCGGCTATTAAATTTATGATAGGAACGATTCTGTCGATAAAAGATTCGGATGGTGCTGTTGTGTCGGACTTTTGGCGAAATTTAACAGTCTGCGGAGTGAGCCTAACTGGAATTGTTTAGCGCTAATTAGCTATTTTTTACTGCACTTACTTATAATTTTATTTGCGGTATATAAATATCATAAATTTTTGCTTAAATTGAATTTTGAAACGTATTTCTTTCACTTCATCGAGACAAATAATAAATGTTTAAATCTTTTAATTTTGCTGCAATTATTCTTGATTATTCCATTAATTTGAGGTAATTTATGTCGTTATAATTGTTTTTAGTAGAAATAACTTAATAAAATAAAAAAATATAGTTTTTTTTCTAAGAACTCTCATTATTTCTGCATAGGCTCGCCATGCGTTGAGCTTGTCGGACGAGGCAAATTTTGCCATGAAATCATTTCTCAAT